TTCTACTGAGCTATCTCCCTGGCCCCATATTTATATTCATTTTAAAGGAACTACCATTTATATGCAACAAAGCAAAAAACAAATTAAATGTAATATAAAATGAGTATGACAATGCTAAGGGTTATGTAGTCCAAGTAAGTCAGGCAAATTATGGAGAATATTTCCTAAGAAGTTAGGTTTTGAAGTAGAATTACAGATACAGTCACTACCTAGCTGAGACTATGTTATGCCTAACTTTTCTGTCTTGTCTTTTCCCATCCCTTTTATAAAGGCTGAGTAGACAAAAGGGACCACAATGGAAAATATTAAAACATCCACTCAAAATATATTTATTAATAAACAGATAAAAATACTGCATAGAGATATCTGTAAAGAATATACATACATCTCATCTAACATCTTACAGGGACACCAAATGTAAATGATTAAGTAGTGTATAAGTTCTCTAAGAAAAGTGAAATCAAAACTCTAATGAAAGATCAGAAGAGTCTCCTCAATGGATAAGCTATAGGAAGGCTTCACGAAGTAGATAGCAGTTGGAATTGATCTTGAAAAATGGGAATACTTTGAATATATGAAGATGGGGAAAAGGGAATTGGAAGTACAGAGAAAAGTATGAATATAGAAATTAAGATGGGAATATTCTAGAAATAAATGGGATTTCAGTTTGAATATTATGTTTTTAAATAGAAGAGCTAAATTTATCTGGGTATGGTGGCAAACTCCTATAATCCCAGCACTCTGGGAGGTGGAGGCAGGAAGACTGCTGCAAGTTCAAGACCACCCTGGGCTACATAGCGAGTCTAAGACTAGTCTGAACTATCCAGAGAGACCCTGTCTCAAAAAGAAAAAAAAAAGAGCTAAATATAAGTCTCAGAAGAAAATAGGGAAAACTCCAAGACATAAATTTGGTAAAAACTTCTTTGGTATGTAAGTGCATGTACTTAGCATATATAAGGACCTGGCTTCTATCTCTAACATCATCAAAAAAAAAAAAAAAAAAGCACTAACAAAGTAAAACAAGGGCCGGCCAAATAGCTCAGCAGATTAAAGCGCCTGCATGCAGGGCCAAGGGCCAGGGGTTCAATTCCTGGGCCTGCAGGGCCAGTGCCTGCTCCACCCCTGGGGTGCACTGACACAGCAATTGAGACTGGGCATGATGGTGAGCACCTGTAATCCCAGCATTTGGGAGGCTGTAAACAGAAGAATCACTACGAGTCTAATCTAGTAGTGAGATCCTGAACACCCTGTAGATCATTCCCTAAAATACCAAAAAAAAAAAAAAAGACAATAAATGTTTATAAATTAATGTTGAAGGCAGCAAAAGACAGAAACAACTCAGAGATCCACCAATAGACAAATGGATAAACAAATTAAATATTAGTCACAAAAAACTGACATGCTAAATAAACCTCAGAAACATTATGTTCAGTGAAAGAAGCCAGACATAAGCAGTCACATGTGATATGATGCCGAAATATCAAGAGGTCAACTGAGAAAGCAGACTGACAGTTGCCAGGAACTGAGTGAAGAAAAATAAATAACTGCTTAAACATGTAAGGTTTTCCTCTCTTCCTCCTCCCCCCTCCCTTTCCCCTCCTCTGTGTGCACTACGCAAGTACACGATCAATGAACTACATCTCCAGCCTGGGATTTTCTTTTGGGATGATAAAAATGTTTTAGAATTAGATAGAGGTGGTGGTTGCACCATACTATGAATGCACTAAATGCCATTTAGTTATTAATTTAAAATTATATTATTTGAATTTTACCAAGAGAAAGGATGAAAGATATCTGTAGGCAATGAATGATTAAAATAATTATTAATATCTAGATTACCTGCTGTAAGTGCAATGACCTGAGTTCGATCCCCAGTACCAAAAAAAAAAAAAAAAAATCTATGCTGGATTACCTGCTTCTTCGCCATGAAAATAATTTAAGAGAATAAAAACATTGGCAATGGTTGGTTTTACTGAGAATGAAGTAACAAAGTTCAAATCAGGGATCATGTTTTGTTATGAAAACAGCCTGACATCTGACCAAAGGGCTTGACATATGATTCTTCTGGTCTACAATTATTAGGGGGGGAAAAAAACCTAAGAATCATCATGTGGCTGAAGTATACACAGGTGGAAAAAGCAAACTGTCAGAATAATCCAGCTTTTGCAAACTATTAACGTCTGTCCTGAGGTTAATGGAAGAACAATTTTTTTTTTAGCAGTCCATCGCCTTAACTACTCGGCCACCTCATCCCACAATTTTTTTTTTTTAAAGAGCAGAACATATTTATTAGGGGAAAGAAAGCTTCTATCCAGACAAAAGGAAACCCAAGTGGGTTGCTCTGGAAGAACAAATTTATTCTCCTTTGTATTTTCTTCACATCCCTGTTATTTATGCTGTCATTATTTTCCTTTAGCTCACTGGTGAGTAGATTTGAGTCCAAAGAATGAAACTCTTCTGTGTATTGTAATATACTACATTACTATTAAAGAAACAGAACTTAATGATAACAGACTGCTTTAAAGTTTAAATGTTATGTCCTTTTAGTGAAGGGTAGATGAAATTGCCATTCATACCTTAGAACTCCAATTCTAACGGCTGATCTGATATACACCCCTCCCTTTTTATTGTAGTGCTAGGGATCACACATGGACTTTATGCACATTAGACAAGCACTCTTGCTGAGCTAAAACTCTAGTCCAACTGTCCCCCGTTTTTAATCACTATACATTCTCAGTGCATTTGCAAAATTGCTACCATTAGAGAAAAATCATTTAATTGCTTCATCTACCACTGTTTGCAGCTCAGGTCAAGAAAGTATCTTCTTAAGCCTTGAAAAAATGGAACTTTCTCATTCAATTTTTTTTTTAAACAGAGGGAAAGTATCTTACTTGAGACAATTTTAGGGTCTTAAAACACAAGGGAAACTAGGACTTACAATAAATGTTTCCAATGCTAAACTAGATTTGTTGCAGTGGAAGCCAATTAAGATCACAAAGGGGGAGCTGTGGGATAGAGGATTGCTACAAATTCAAGGTCAGCCTGAAATAGCAAGACCCTGTCTCAGCATGTAAATAAATCAGAAAGGTACTGCATACTTAACTGACTTTCCAAGGATATCTTCCTCAGAGGGAGATTAACTTTGAAATACAGGGTTTAAAAGAACTGGCTAAAAGTTAAAAGAAGTACACAGCTCAGAGAAAAAAAAATTGTGAAATCCCTAATGTCATGTTCTCTATCATATCTAGAACACATCATTGATCTACAGTACAAATGTGCTGGCCTTCTGATAAGAAGATAAAAAGAAAAGATTTTAGGTCTTTTCATACATGTATCTCTCTCCTTAAGCTCCTGTCGCAGTCTGTGTACCTCAGGCCCAGACACAGCTTCCCTGGCTCTAACTTTCTTGCAAAAAGCCTTGTTCTTTTCCAAGCTTAAAGGGTCTAAACTGACAGAAGAAAAAAATGAGGAGCAAGAGGGCAAAGCTGGAAAGAATTATAGTAAGTTCTCAAAACTTAAAGAGTTTAGTTTACCTAGAAAGAGAGTCACTGTTTTTCTAGCCATACTCAGGTGCAACCAGAATCATGAAAAGAATTAAGTTTGGGAACCAAGGCTCTACTATGTAAGCTCCTGCTATATGAGAAACACAACATGGACTGAAGAGATATGAACTGGATTATCTAGAAAAACTGTAATTCTTCACTTATTTACAAACCAAAATATTAAACCTATTCCTAGATAGAAGTCTCTCACCTTTCTCCTTCCTTACCAACTGAAAAACCCTAATTTTCACCTAAGTCACTGATATTGTCTCACTATTTCCAGACCAAGACGGCCCACCCAATATTTTCTAATTCATCACCAAACACCAAACACCTTTCAAGGAGGTAAGGCGAAGGGGAATAAAGCTGGTCCCCGAGGATCCACAAAAAGGGCAGGAAAAAAGAAATACATTAAGAACACTAATATTATGAACATATTGAGTAGTTTAATCACTGGTTAACACTCACTGGGGTGATAAATACTTGACTCAATTATAAACTAAGCAAGAAGACAGGTTGATGGGAAAGTAACTTACCCTGCTAAGCCCTAGGCTTCCTTCTTTCTCTCTTCCCTCCAAGTGAAGTGAGTGCTTGATCTCCTCAGATCTAGGTTGTGGCTTACTTGCAGCTGTCCCTTCATATCACTTTCCTTTGCAAACTGCTGAAATGATATGTCTCAGTGATTAAGTGTGCCCTGCCAACCAGACAGACAAGGCTGACTTCTCCCTAATGAGGCAAATAAGGACCTGGACCACTGCCCAAGGACCTCTCTCTGACCCTTATTTTCTGCCAAGAGGGCTCAAGACTGTCAACACTCCCCAAATCACCACAAGCCTGCCAGGCATCTACTGCTTTCTGGACTCTTTTCAAAGCAGGACTTCTATTCTCAGTTTACATCTTCAAAAAACTGAACAAAACCATTGGAATTAGTTCAGAAGCTAGTATTTGGTTAGAAAGAGTAGGGACTTGCCCGAAGGAACTGGAATTCCTAAGTCCCTGGATGTCAGTCTAGTCCCAGAGGGGGCTGGGGAGATAGCTCAGTATAATAAGCACTTGCCTGGCAAGCGCAAGGGCCTGCATTCAATATTGGCTTTGGAAAAAAAAAAAAAAAAAATCTAGTCCCAGAATGAGTTCCCCAAAAGCCAATGTCTTTTTTTAGCTTAAGAGTACTCAAACATAATTCAACAATTCTAGATTTGGTCCAATGTAGGCATAAGTATAAATTTAATTACCCAAGAAAGGAGAAGAGAAATTGTCATTTAATAGTAATCAGATGTTGAAAAACAAGCCTAATTTGTAAAATTCACATTTACTGAAAGAGTAAGGTGTTTTCTAAGTGAGTGTCACCAGTGGCATTCCACCTACTTCAAAAGAGGAACAAAGGGGCTGGGGAGATGGCTCAGTAGAATAAGCACTTCCCTGTTAAGCGCAAGGGCCTGATTTCAATCCCTGGCTCTGAAAAAACAAAACAAAACAAAACAAAAGAGGAACAAATATTTCTGGACAACATTTTTTTCCTTTTTTGGACATTTTATTTAAAACCAAAAATGTATATTTATAGGAATGGGAAATGCAAAGAATTTACTCAATCATCCCCTCAGTCTTTCTCATAATGGCTGCCGATCCAACACATTCACAGTTCCTTTGAGCTACTGAGCTGTACAATCAGAAGTTGTTAGGGCATTGGTCCCATATGACTGCAGAAACTGTCTGGTTACATTTGATCCTATTTGTCACTTACCTGTCTCTGTGAACATCATCAAAGTCAGGAATAGAATCTCTTGCTGCAAGGTCCTGGAATGTGGCAACCTAAATTCACTAGTGTTGGATTTTTTGTTGTTTATTTGTTTTGGTACTGAAAATGGAACCCAGATCCTTTGTACCAAACTACATTCTCCCCAGCCCTTTTTAAAACTTTGAGACATGGAATCACTAAATGATTAAGCTGGAAGCCCAGCTTCCCAGACTGGGCTTAAACTTGTGATCATCTTGTCTCAGCCTTTCACATGTGCTGGGACATACAGGTATGCGTCACCATGTCCACCTAAATCCACAGAGTTTTGAGGGAGAGAAAAAAAATCCATTGGAATGTGAACTGTAGAAAGCACAAAGTATAGTTAGGAAGACAGAAGAACCATGTTAAGGAATCAGTGACACATTACACACTATGTAGAATAGCTGTGAACAAACAAAAATCAGTCACAATAGGCAAAAACCCTGAAAAAAACAGGGATAATTCAGTCTAAGCATAACTTCCAGGACAACTTCAAACTTAACAGGTTTTAAAATTTAATTTTAAACTCCAAAGAGATTATGATTGTATTGCTAATGTCTGAACTGCAGAAGGTACAAGAAGTCAAGAGACTGACTCTGGTAATATAAACATGTCATCTTGAAGAGGACAGAAAAATTTGATGTTGAATATATTTTACCATCACAACTACTTACACTAGTAGACATTTAAAGTAACAATTTAAAAAGATCTACACTTTTCACAATTTGCACCCATGAGTTGCATTAAAAAACATAAATACTTAACAAATGATCTGTTGTAAAGCTAGGAAAGACTTGAAAGAGGCTCCTATTAACAAGCTGGAAGTAAGTGGTCTGTGAGGCTGGGTGATATTTTACCACTCTTTGTGTATACTGGTTTTTTTCTTTT